CCCGGCCTTCTAGTGCGCACCAGGTTTCGGACGATCATCTCGCAGCCGGCGATGACGGCTAGATGCAGCGGGGTGAGCTGGTGCGAGTCCTGTATGCGGGTGTTCACACTCGCGTGGACGCTGATCAGGAACAACACGCTCTCGATGTCAGCCTTCTGGATGGCGACGTGCAGGAAGTTGCGACCCTTGTTGTCGCACTGCAACAATATAGATGCAACAAATTTTGTTCCGCTGCAACAACAGTTGCAGCAAATGTTGTCGCACGGCAACAATAGTTGCAACAAATTTTGTCGCGCGGCAACAATAGTTGCAACAAATGTTGACGCACTGCAACAACAGTTGCAACAAATTTTGTCGCACTGCAACAATAGTTGCAGCAAATGTTGTCGCACTGCTGCGGCGATCAATGCAAACATTACAGACTCACTTATGCAATGATTCACTTACGCACTTACCTCGACCATATAAACCGATATTATACATAGAACGATTGCCAATATAAACTATATCATTATGGTCGTGTACGGTGCTACTACGCTTGATATTACATTCATAAAATTCATATTTAAATTTATATTTAACATTCACTCAATTAATATTGTTTTCTTGTCCCAATAAACGAAAATAATATATATAACAAAAATATACTAAACGAGGCTTTGGTAAATGGCCGCAATAAAACTTCTATGCAGCAGCACCTGGCACCATTGGCAAGTCTTCGTTCAGGTACACACAGCCACACACCTGTTCGGCCGCTGTGGGCTCATTCTGTAGTATGGCCTGCGCTGCATTGTTATTCTTGCTCGTCATAGCAGCAGCAAAGGGAGTTAGTCCTCGCTTGTCCCTGACAGTAAGGTCGAGTCCAGGATGAAGGAGGAGCAGTGATATGATCACCTGGTGCTGGTTAGATATGGCGATATGGATGGGAGTCTTTCCCTCAGCATCCTGCAAGCAAAAAACGAATTGTCAGCATGAAATATTGCGAAAATTCAACGCTACCGTAACAAAGAAACAAACCGCACTACGATTTACGACACGTACGAAGATCCGTACGAACCACCCGTAAAGAATGCTGATATCAGGAGCGAAGAGATGAGGAGACTTAGATTGGATCTGATTTGATTTAGGATTAAGAATGGTTTTCAGTGTTATACTTGAAGACTACAGACGTTCAACAAATCGCAACTTAATTGCAGTGGATTTTGCTGCAAATGCAAACGTGACTCTGCAGCAGAGAAACTACCTACCCTGATGTTAACGTTAGCTCCTTGCTCCAGTAAGCTATGTACCACCAATTCCTGGCCCCACTGGCACGCTAGATGCAACGGTGTTTGCCCATCATATGCTTCTTCTCCTCCCTCACCATTCGGACCCGGCCTTCGCGGACTGTTGATATCACATATGCTAGAACAAAAGAAAAACTAAATGAAGTAGCGTACATAGTCGTTCAGATTCTCACATAGTCTATAACTTGCGTCGCCCTCGATCACCAATTAGGTGGTAGCATGGCATCCTCAGTCTGTGTTTCCACTACTAGCAGAACCACTGACGAGCAATCGTGTGACATATGCATGGCAGATCTTGTAAAAATGTATTCTCGCACAGTCGATAACTTGTCAAACCATAATCACCAACTGGGCTGTATTTCCACTACCAGCAGAACCACTGACGACTGTTTAGTGTGACAAACGTAGTATGACAAATGTAGTGTGACAAAGGTAGAGTGACAAACGCAGCGTGACAAACGCAGCGAGACAAACGCAGCGTGGCAAATGCAGCGTGACAAACGCCGCGTGACAAACGCAGCGTGACAAACGCAGCGTGACAGACGCAGCGTGACAGACGCAGCGTGACAAACGCAGCGTGACAAACGCAGCGTGACAAACGCAGCGAGACAAACGTACAGCAGAACTGTGCGGTCATACATACAGGTCTGCAGAACATACCTTCTGATGAGAAAGCAGGCGACGGCCTCGTTGTTCTCGTCGATGGCGCGGTGCAGCAGGGTCTGTTCGCAGCCGTCAGGACCACGGCTCCACGCTGTCGTGTCACAGCGATGCTTCACCTGCCCGACGAAAACACACTCCGATGGATCGAGAGATCAGGATTTAACAGAACGAAACACAACAGCAAATGATCACTCGTGAGCCCGCTGGTATGATGAAAACGCACCCCGGCCGCTCGAGATATTTCACAGAAGGAACCGCCGATACCAAACGATTATTCGTGAACCAGCAGGTAGGTACACGATTTGTCTTAGCAAGGTGATACACAAGGACCCACAATCAAAATCAGTGAACACGCATGTTGAAAAAATAAGTCATGCACGAAAAAACGCCGACCAAACACCGACGGCTCAAGAGATACCACAGGACAAACCACGACAGCCAACAATCACTCGTCAACCAGCAGGTAGGTACCCAACTTGTCCTAGCAAGTCGATACATGAGCCAGTGAAAAAATAATGAATTATGCATGACCGCTAGACCGTGCAAGACTCACCAGATATATAATAAGTATGCAGGATAGGTTCATACACAATAATCCATAATCAAAACCAGTGAATACACAAGTTTAAAAAAAGTACAAATTTGTGACGAATACTGTATACGCAATATTTTTCGCGTACAGATATTTTCGCGAATTCAGACTTGACGGACAATTTCGCGAGTGGTTCATTTCGCGGTCGTTGGATTCCCGAATCAGTGAAGAACGGCGTGTTGTTATTTTCGCGATCGGGGACGCGTTCGCGAAATTCACGAAAATTAAACCACCGCAAAATATACAGCGTATACAGTACTAGATCCCAGCGAGACTCACCAGAACAGACCCGATGTCTTCCTGTCCGGTTTCGAGTGCCTTCCACAGCGGGCTGTTGCCCTGCGAATCCGGCTCGTCCGTGTTGGCCCCCTTTTGGCACAGCGCGTCAACTACGATTGGTAGGTGGCGCTTAATGGAAAGTTCCAGCGGCGTTTCCTCGTCCACTGTCCTGAAGCGAAAACGCAAAACAGTCGCTCGAGTTCACTTTTTTTTTGTCGTTTATTATGCCTTGGCGATTTCAACCGTCAGTGGAACCTTAAACATTCTGATCAGATCTAATTCTTTCATCTCAAGCTTTTTTTCTGATTAGTCTACATAATCTACTGTGTAATTTGTGTAGCTAACGTACAGAATGAGCGTCTAATTCAAGAGAATCTAATTCTTTCATCATAAGCTTTTTATGATTAGTCTAAGCAATCTACTGCGTAATCTGTCTAGCTAATGTACAGAATGTGCAGCTGCTCACTTCGACGTGATGTCAGCACTGTGATCCAGCAGAAACAATGCGCTGCGCGAGTCCTGCTTTATGATGGCTTGATGGAGCAGGGTATTCCCCTCAGCATCCTTGCAATCTGCAAGTATGGGTTAGTGCCATGCTGTTATTATATTGTGAAATATAATTAATATTATTATGTAAATTGTTAATGTGCTGAAACCTTACCAGTAAAGGCACAAACAGTGCTGACACCTAACTAGTACAAGCACAAACAGTGCTGACACCTTACTAGTACAAGCACAAGGCACAGTGCAGCGCCGTTCTGTATCAATCATCAATAATCATAAAACGTCAAATAAATATCAAAATCATAAATCAGCCTGAGAAGTCGAACCTTTTTTAAATGAATATTCAAATTTCTAATGTAACTTTCATACCCTAGTCACAATCAGGGTTACACATGAGCCAAACGGCTCGTACATTTTTTAAATACGTTCTAAGAAGAGACGTGATCTAACTAAAACTGGTGTAGCCTCAGCTTCTCGAGTGTTCTTACCTTTCCCATGCTGTCCTGGACGTTCGGGTCTGCATTGTGGCTGAGTAGCACAAGCCGCAACACAGCACATCCCCTCGACAACCTGAAACACATGACAGACAACCTGATGACTCCAAAATAACTCCTGTAGAGGGTAGACATCCTACTAATTTAGAATCAAACC